AGGAAGATGATCAGCCTGTCATTGAAGGAAATCTTGTGAAAGAAAACTCTTCCTCACAAATGGGGTCCTCAGGACCCTCCGGGAGTGAAGCAGGAATTAACAATGGAAATGGGAAATGGTGCACTCCTTCTTGGAGGTTTTCCATTATTTTCAATTGTCACTATTTTTGGGTACCATAAAAAATATCCCTAAAATCATTCACTTCTTTCCTTTAGTCTAGGTGACTGAACTATGGTGTGTGTATGCATATATGTGTGTGTGTGTGTGTGTTTGTATATACAAGTGTGTATACACACACACACATCTCCAGTGAAATGAACCTCGAAATTTCAGATACAAAACCAAAAATGTTCATTCTGGTACATCAATCCTTTATTGTTGCCAGTTGACTGTTCCTCAGAGTGGCATATATGCTAATTCTAGAAAACTTGAATGCAGATGTAGTTTTTGATTGAAAAGAACCAAGATTAACTTTATTGTCAGAGTATTACAGTGCTTGTTTGCAACCTCCCTACAGGTAAGGAAAACAGAAATGGAGAGTTCCGTCCTCAGAGGATTGAGAATGCAATATTTTTGCAATGAGCTCTTCTTTGCTCTTATTGGGGCCCCTGGGGTGGGTGAAGCATTTGTGTGAAGACAGGTGCCTTGTGGAGAGTCATGCACAACACGCTCAGATCACCGGTGACTTCTCCAGGGAGCTCTGACTCTGTGTCTTTTTTCTTTGGGATGGCAGGTGATACCCAAACTTTTCTTCCAGGGAACACTTTTGGGTACCCCATTAGATACCAAGACCACCATTTGGCTTCTGAGTTAATTCTGAAGATTCCACATTTGTAGTTCTTGGGGCCCATTTCCCTCACCTGCCAGCTGACCTTAAGCAGCTCTCTTTCCTCCTCTGGGACATCAGGGTATTCTGCGATGACTCACCCTCCTCTCTTTCTGCTGGGAAAACCCTAGTCACGTTTGCTTGGTGCCCTCGCTCACCCTGGTCTCTCGTCGCGCTCATTCTTTAAGGCTGTCTTTGATTCTTGGGAATCCCACGTCTGCCACAGAGAACCTAGAAAAGCCCCTGGGCCATATTTCAAAAGACCCATCAGGAAATTCTGAACATGTTTTGAAACTCCTACTAATTCTATGGGATTACAGAGGTTTATAAACTGCATTCCACATTTTTCCCTTGGTATTCTCACATACTTCTGAAATGTCAGAGGGACTAGATTTCTCTTTATTCAGATGTTAAACATGTATGGAAACTCCCGGGGAGAAGAATTAAGGTGCTCACTCTGGTTTCCCTGTTAAAATCTCCTAGCTAGGATTGTATGAGTATTAATGGAGGTTTCCATTATTATTTGGCAATAGAGTACTAATATAATTGCATCTTTTATCCTATTATTTTTTAAAATAGGTTTTTGCCCATCTCTACTAAAAATAGAAAGAAATTAACTGGACAACTAAAAATACATATAGAAAAAATTAGCCGGGCATGGTGGCGCATGCCTATAGTCCCAGCTACTCAGGAGGCTAAGGTGGAAGGATCGCTTGAACTCGGGAGTTTGAGGTTGCTGTGAGCTAGGCTGACACCATGGCACTCTAGCCTGGGTAGCAGAGTGAGACTCTGTCTTTAAAAAAAAAGTTTTTTTATGAAACAATAGGTCACTTTTATAAAGCACTTTATTTATGCCAAGGATGGCATTCAGCCCTTTCTGTGGCCAAGTTCAGGTGAGCTTCTTCCAACCTGAGAGGTAGGTGGCATTATGATCCACATATTTTAGATGAGAGACCCTAGGGTGAAAGAGGTAGGTCTTCTTCAAGGATTTGTGACTGCTTTTCTTGATGTTAAACTCCTCCAAGAGACATGAAATTCTAGAGTCGCTCTGCAGAGGAATCAGAGTCACTACCCAAACCCCTTGCTCGGCCCTGGTCAGACCTGGCATGTGGAGTTCACTGGAGCTCTCTGGAAGACAAGCACCTGCTAATTTCGACTGTGGTCCCAGCCAGATAATGGAGAGAGGGAAAGGCCAATGTGATAGGAAGTGACTTGACGTTTTGGTCATCTTTTGAAGCTAGGCAGTGATGAGGCAAGCAGTTTGGTGTCTCAAGGTCTCCTTGAAGGAAGGAACTTTGACAAAGGTTTTGGAGTTGGTCCTCTGGCCTCAAACACCCCTTAAACCCCTTTAGTTGGTTGGGTTCCTTTCCTATTACCATGACATCCTGCCTTTCACAGGCATTCTGCACTGTACAATGCACCCCACCTGTGACAGGAAGCTGAGTGTCCCTTCCAGGTAGAAGGGAATATAAAAGGTCATCACAGGGCAGTATTCTGCAGTCTTGAGGATTGTACATTGTCCTTTTAAAGGAAGAACATTCTTGATAACTCTGGGTGCTGACTGAAAGTATTTTTATTTAAATGTTACTTACAGGCGCACGAGCCCTAAATTAAACTCACTTTATTTATGGCCAACTAAACAACCAAAACTCATTTACAAGTTAAATATAACTGAGGCTAAAAGAACCCCAAAATATTCAAATTAGCAACATTAATTTAATGCAGCGGCTGATGTTTTGTGGGGAGCGAATTGCTGCGCGCAGTGTGAGTTACTTCTCACTGCTGGGAGCACGTTCTTTGAGCTTAGCAGGCCCGTTTTGTGCTGACTCAGCACACACACACACACACACACACACACACACACACACACACACACACTCTTTTCACTTTTCCAGTGGCTTTCAAACTTGAGTGTACATCAAAAGCACCTGGGGGGCTTGCAACAGCACCCCCAGAGTTTGGCTCAGGAGTGTTGGAACAGCCTGTCTTGGAGGCTGTTCAGCATTCCCCCAAAACAACTCCGTGGGATGTGCCAGAGGGTGTCCGTCCATAAAACCCATGCGTCCAAGGCCTCTATGTATGCAGAAATTCTGTAATTTGGGGGCCATTTTAGCTTTCTCTCTTATCAGCCTCCAGGAATTCTCCAAAGCAAGGATGTTTGGTTTTACCCCATACATACCCCAAGTGCAGCATTGCACAGCCCTAATACTATTTCCCTCCACACCCAGCTGTCGCTCCTCCCTGCTTCCTCGGTCCTGCCACTGTTACCACCGCTGGTCCAGCTTCCCAAGTTTGCCATCGGGCATGTGCATGTGCCCCCGACAAAGGTCCCCATTTTGTCTTCGCCTCTGCCTCTCTGTTGCGTGCCACCACTCCCATCCTGACTTCAACAGCAGCCTGCTGGGTTTACTGCCGTAGTTTGCTGCTTTGCATTCTGAACCTCTTTAATCCACTTGTACAAAATGACCGCTCCCCGAATTATCTGGCCGTTGAGCTGTTATTCGCCTAACATCTCTTCCTCCGCTGGGGGTGTGTTCCGCTGTGCACGCAGGGAAAGACAGCTGTGCGCGTGCCCCGTTCATTCCCATTTCCGTTGCTTTCTGTCCCTGTAGCCGGCCCGCCAGCCAAAGACACATGCACTCACACACACAGACTCACCACCTGAGAGAGCTCCCTTTTCGTAATGTATAAATCCTCTCTCTCCCTTAATCGAACCCTCCTGTGGTCAGAAGCCACGCGGCTCAGCATTTTCTTCCTCCCTGTGCGCTCACACCACTCGAAAGGATCGTGCTCATTATTTGTTTACGTGTCGACAGCCCATCTCCTTGCTCGCTCTAAAGCCAGGAGGACAGGTCCCTCCCGGGCTCCCCGGTACCTGGCACCTACAACCCTGCCTGGGGCAGAGAGCAGAGCCGTCCAGCAAGTATTTGCGGAATGAATGTTTATGTATCTGTCTCCTTCACTCGACTGTGAGTTCGGAGAGTGAACCGGGTCTTAGTGTATGTCTGAAATTTGAGAGCGATCTCTAGCCCGGGCCCCGGTACCTGTCATGGTCTGGAATGCCATAATTCAGAGGTGTCTCCGCGGAATTGGGCCTCAAGCGTCTTAATTTCAGTCCCATTGGATTTGTTTTGACTGGAAATCTCATTGCCTGTTTTGAAAGCATGTTCCCCTGGGCGCTTTTGAACACTGGAGACTTCTTGGTAGGCAGGCATTTCATCCCCATCAGGAAATCTCATCAAAATGATATTAGGTTTGCACATCAGGAAAATAAAAATCCTCTGAGAAGATGTTGCTGTTCTCTAGATCGGCTTTGATATAAGCAGTTAAGCCCACTCAGAAGGCATTTCAACCACATCTGAGATACGGGGGTCAGGGCCGGTGGCAGAGCCTCACAGTAAACAATAAAATTAAAAAATAAAGGGAGAAAGGAGACCTCCACAGGAATTTCTGTAGTTACAAGCAAAATTTGAGAGTAGAGCAAAACACTGGGGTTTGGTATGAGGCTTCGTTTCAGAGGGTAGGAAATGGTGTCCCTGCTCGGTAGCTAGGCTGTGACTGGTGCTCCCAGGCAGGGGTTTCTCTGTGTTTTGCATTTTTTTTTTCCTTTTTGGAGACAGAGTCTCACTCTGTTCCCAGGGCTAGAGTGCCATGGCATCAGCCTAGCTCACAGCAACCTCAAACTCCTGGGCTCAAGCGATCCTTCTGCCTCAGCCTCTCGAGTAGCTGGGACTACAGGCATGCGCCACCATGCCCGGCTAATTTTTTTCTATATATTTTTAGTTGGCCAATTCATTTCTTTCTATTTTTAGTAGAGACAGGGTCTCGCTCTTGCTCAGGCTGGTCTCAAACTCCTGACCTTGAGTGATCCTCCCGCCTCGGCCTCCCAGAGTGCTAGGATTACAGACATTAGCCACCACGCCCGGCCTAGGAGGTGGCTTTTGACGTTCTGTAAACTCCTGTTTATCTCCGTGGTCCCCTGCCTGAGATTTCACACTCAGTTCTCCCACCTAAGCCTTTCATCATGATGCCGAACATTCTAGAAGGACGACTGTGCAGAGGGCTGAGATGAGCATGAAAGCGGCAGTGGGGAAGCTTCAGCTGAGCCTGCGTCTTTGTCTTGCCCTCCTTGGGGCCCGATTCTGGTCTCACTCGTGGCTGTCTCTCTTTCCAGAGGCGTGAACATGTACGCTATGCTGACCGGGACGCTGCCCTTCACGGTGGAGCCGTTCAGCCTTCGCGCTTTGTACCAGAAGATGGTGGACAAGGAAATGAACCCCCTCCCCACCCAGCTCTCCACAGGTAACGCACCTGCCGCTCCGGATTAGGGCTCGGGACTTTTATTCTGCCGGGTGTGGGTCCATTTGTGAAGCAGTGCTTGTTTTCCAGCAATGGTGTTATGATTACTCCAAGACTGAGTTTCTTCCTAGTGTTAAAACTAAAGGTCAGGAGGTGGTTGGGTTTCCACTCTCTCAGCAGCCTCTCCCTGCCTCTCACCTGTACCCTTTCCTGTCCTGTCCTGATTTCAAACCCCTAACTTCCTTCTTCCTCCTTCTGCACAAAACACACAACAGATCAAAAGGATCTGATAGTCTCCATTTGAAAAATAATGGTGGGCTTGACTGTCTTAAAACTCACCATAGAATGTTGACTTGGAAAAGAGGGTTTGTAATCACTTCTCTATTGTGTCTTCTTTAGTCAACTCACTGTAAAGAAATACTTATTTCACTCAGCTTGGGTCTGTGATTTGTTTTGTTAGTTGAGTTTTTGAGCCTGTTCAGAAGCGTCTAGATACACATAGCTTCAGTTACTGCGTTAGACTGAATCCTCAGGTGTGTTTGAAAAGTATTCTCAAACTTTACCTGGTTCGCATTTCAGTAAACACTTTGTATTGAGGTTTGCTTTCAAATCCAGTAAATTAGTACAATTTGTTCTTCTGTTTGGTTCACAGTTCAAGTTTCTGGCCTCATTGTGGCTTTGATGATCATTTAATTGACTCTTAGAATAAACTCAGCTTTACTGAGATGAGTCTTTTGACCTAAAAAAAAAAAAATAATTATTTAACTTCAACTTATGATACATGGTTAAAATATAGCATTTTATTTCACCGCTTTTATGTAGTTTTCTCTCGAATTTATAAAGCATGTGTGAAGCTGAGCTTGAGTTTATCCTTGCGAAATGGGATCCAAGCTGAAATGCATTCTTGTGTGTAATTATCTAATTCGGCCCATACTTTCACCTTTCGGGAGGGTAGAGTCTCTGGAGGCTGAAATCAAAGGAGGCATTATGTCCTTGAGAGGATAAGTTACAGTTCCGTCATGATAGAAGAAATATTTCTGCACTGAGAGCCATAACTCTGGGAGTTAGGAAATGTGCAAAATATCGAACGGATTGTTATATTTTGGTTTTAGTGCTTCCAGAAATGTAAGTGCTGCAGAGCACCGCGAGGAGTGCTCGTTTATTCATTCATCCACTCATTCCATATTTCATCTTTATTAGCTTGTTCCATGGATATATACCTGCGTACCAATAGGGTGTGTTCTAGGGTGAGGAGGACAGAGAACAAACCAGACGGTCTCTACTCTCATAAAGCTTGTATATCAGCAGGAGAGGCAAAAAATTAATGGATAAACAAACATGTGATATTTGGTGGTGTAAGTGCTCTAAATAAAATAAAATAAATCAGGATACGGGGATAGTTTCTTTTTGACACATAAGATTATTTTAAAAACTTTGTATTGTGGCATAATTGTAGATTCACATGCAGTTGTAAGAAATAGCACAGAGAGATCTGTGTACCCTTCACTCAGTTTCCCCCAATGGGAATATTGTGTATAATATCACCACCAGGAGATTAGCACTGCTAAAATCCATTGACCTTATTCAGATTTCACAAGTTTTATGTGCATTCAGGTGTGTGTTTGTGTTTTTAGTTCTGTGCAGTTTTATCACATGTGTAATTCATGTGACAGCCACCACACCAAGGTACTGTGCAGTCCCATCATAAGGATCCCTCTGCTACTCCTCTTCCTCCCCTCTGCCCACACCCCATCAACTACCCTGTCCCCATTTCTATAATTTTTTCATTTCAGAATGTTTTTTTATATAAGTTTTATATATAAGTAGCTTTTTTTTACTCAGAATAATTCCCTTGAGATCCAGACAAGTTGTTGCATGTGTCAGGACTTTGTTTCTTTTTACTGGTGAGAAGTATTCCCCGGTGTGGATATACCACAGTGTGTTTAACCATCACCCATTGAAGGACCATTGGGTTGTTTCCAGTTTGGGACTATTATGAATAAAACTGCTATGAACATTCACGTATAAGTTTTTCGTGTGAATGTGGTTTCATTTCTCTGGGACTAATGCCTAAGAGTGAAATTGCCAGGCGTGATAGTAAGCACATATTTAGTCTTGTAAGAAACTGCCAGCTTCTTCTTGAGACTGTCCGTACGATTTTGCATTCCCACCAGCAATTTGCTAGTGATCTCTCCATCCTTGCCAACATTTGATGCTATCACTATTTTTTAGTCATTTGGTAGGGGTCTAATTATATCTCATCATGATAACAAGATCTGATATTTGCTAATAAATGCAGTCTTTCAAAGGAGTCTCTTTAAGGGGTGTAGAGTCACGAATATTGCCATCTCTCAGAGTGATTCTGAAGTTCTTCTGTTGGACCCATAACAAAGGATCATAGGAAGATGTTTGTACCCCCAAGCTTGGGAAGGGCAGACAATGCTCACTTTGAATTTCAGTGAGACCCTGAGGAGCTGGAGAACCACTGATCTGCTGCCTTCTCATTGTACCAGTTAGTATAGGTCAGGTTGTGCTGCGGTAATAATCAGCCCCCAACTCAGTGGCTTAAGACAACAAAGGCTTATCTCTTGCTCGTGCTATATACATATCCATTGAGAGTTAGATCAAGCATTGAAGGGTTCTGCTCAACCTAGGGCCCCAGGCTGATGGTGCAGCCACCATTTCCAGTATTCTTGGCTCATGCAGAGGGAGAGAGGGAAAGGGAAGGAGAAGGTCTCTCACCAGCAGTTAAATCACCCACCAACATGTCACTTCCACTCATAGCTCATAGCCTTCTAAAAGATGGCACATGGCTTCACCAACTGAAGGGGATGGGGCAGAGCAACGCTACCATGTATACTGAGAGTGCAGAGCCAGAAATATTAGTTGAACAGCATCAGTGTGAGCCACATGCAGGCTGTGGGAGGGGGAGTAGGCAATTCAGCCTGAGTTCATCAAAGGATGGGCTGGGCAGCCGGGCAAGGGCAGGTAGGTTAATAACACAAGAAAATCAGTCTCATGCCAGGAGCAGTGGCTTACGTCTGTAATCTCAGCAATTTAGAAGGCCAAGGCGGGAAGATTGCCTAGGGCCAGGAGTTCGAAACCAGCTTGGGCAACATAGGGAGACCCCATCTCTACGAAAAGTTTTTAAAAATAGCTAGCATGGTGGCATATGCCTGTAGTCCTAGCTACTAAGGAGACTGAGGCAGGAGGATCACTCGAGCCCAGGAGTCAGAGGTTATGATGGGCTGCAATTGCACCGTTGCACTCCAGTCTGCGTGAAGAACAAGACCCTGTCTCAAAAAAAAAATGAGTCTCATAACTTCAGAACCATCCCTTGTTTTTACTCCCAGTAGTATTATACAGTCTTTGCAGGCTGGGCTCTAAGTGGTTTTTGATTGTGAAAATCAAATTTACCCTTAAAGAAGTAAAAGTAGCACTTCTGAAGATGTTAAAAAAAAGTTCAAAGGTAATTCCATAGAAGAAATATTAAGAATGTTCCAGACAATTTCAGCATCACTGGAGTTGGTGTCCGACCTCACATACAATATAATAGCTCCTGCTCTGAGCAGACAGTTTTTACTTTTGCCTTAAGCTCTGTGCGTGCTTGTTAAAGATCTTCACATTCCTGCAGGACTTTGTTGTCCTGACTTGTCAAGCATGAATTGCATTTCTGTATCTGATTTGCCAACTTAGGAATATGGTAGCAACTCTCCCCCTACTACCCACTTTTTTTTTTCCTACTGGGATATACAAATATGTCTCCACAACTAGGGTTTTGATTCTTTGTGTCAGATATCAAGCGCAATGGTTGGACATGATCGAGGCTCAGGGAATCGAAGTTGCTGACTGGTGTTAAAGTGCACGTGTGACCTGGAAAGGTGGCCCGTACATTCTTTTGATGACTCAGAGCTGAGAGCTGCCCTGGTACAGTAGGGCCCAGGGCATTGCACCAGCTGCCAAGGTAGCCCGGGGCATCTTGTTTAAAGAGTGAATGACTTTGGGTTTGGGCATCAGCTACTATCCTTCCCCTGTCTTTCTAGCCCTTTGCACCTCTCTAAGTGTGTCTCCTCTCCCTCCCAACGAGCCTGGCCCACCTTTACTGATGATACCATATGATACCCTCTGCTTACATCCCCAAATACTAGTACTAGTTTACCAGTAATAAGAGTAGCTGCCATTTTATTGAACGATCATGTGCTTTTCATGTGATCTTATTTCTATATAACTCTGCAAGGTAAGGACTGTTATTCCCCATTTACCAAGGAGGACACTGAGTCTCAGAGAGATTAATTCCTGCTTGACTGAAAACCTGGATATTTCTACTATGCTGTGCTGCTGCTTCTCGCCCTTTTCTGGCTTTATTTAATGTAAGATGGGCCCTCCCCAAGGTTCAAAGGTATTATCTGCTGTCCCTATGTCTTTATGTTTCGAGTAACGTCAATCCAAATTGAAAACAATGCCAGTTTTATTAAGTGTCTCGCTAACACACATCCTTATTAATTGGATGATTCTGTCACTCCTGTTTGTAATGGTCTCATCTGTTTTATTCTACAGCCCCTTTTTTTGATTCAGTTGGAAGAATTTTTACCAAATTGGAGTTGAAAACAGTGTTATTTCCTTGTGAATCCGTGGAGTGTGCTTCCAAACAACTGCCATCATCGCTGTCACGTTAATAGTTTGAACACCGAAGCTTTGGGTGCCTTTCCGAGTCTCTCCCCCAGACAGCTTCTCTCTGCTTGTTGGCACTTGCCTGTCGCAGAGCAGCGAGTGCCTTTTGTGACTTAGAAATTTTGCAGACTGCTGCTTACCTTTCCATCGCCACGCCTCACCCGTAGCGTTGATAATACATTCCAGGCAGTCACTTCAGATCAAGAGGGTTTTTTGTGCCTCAAATTCACTGAAGTCAGAGTCCTGAAGGAGAAGTGTAAGCTTTCCTGAGGGTTGAGCCAGTGCTAATTAAGGTGTCCCAGAAGGTGTGACTGTCAGACTGTCAAGTAATTCTTTAGCTTGGGAGGTGATGAAGGGGGAGCTTAGGGCGGGGATGGGACTGTACTTGCATCCAGCGGGCTACCCCAACGAGAAAAGTCCGGTGGCTTTGTCTGTCGCCTGTGGCCCTTTCTTTGGCATAGCCTCCGGGTGCTGACACAAGCCAGTCCTGACTTTGGGAGGCTGATGGCTCGGGAAAGAAAGTGAGTTTTTTGCACTGGAGGAACCTGTGCCGTGTGTGATGTTGAGCAGGGTGATGGAGCAAAAGCCACGTGGTTCACCCCACCTCCCCAGGCTCGAATGGGGAAGCTGCATTGCGTTAGCTCAGAAGAGTGAAGACTGACACATGGTCGTGCCTGGCGTGGCTTTCATGGCTTTTTCTATCTTAATCTCTTTTGCCCATGAGATACAGGAACATACAAGACCCTTCACATAACTTCAGAAGAGCTCTAAGGATGTTCTTAAAGTCCTTTTTGGAGACCAGTGCAACGTTCACGATGTCCAGAGGAATAAAATCCGTCAGTTGAGATCTGAACTAAAATTGCTTGTGCTCATCAGCAATTTGTGATGATGCAGAGTGCTCGGTTATGAAAATAGAACAAAAACACACACCCAGTTTGTCCTTAGCATTTCTGGTTAGTCATACTCTGAAAAAGTCCGGCAGCAGCCCGGGTTGGTGTCCAGGTGCCCTGAGGGTGGGCGACAGCGATGTCTCAGAAAACGCCATTCACTCCACAGCCTCCAGATTCCATTCCATGAGCCCGTATCTTGTTTTTTCCTTGACCAGTAGATGCCCCCTAGTTAAGATCCAAGTAACTCTTGAAATGTAGAGGTATTTGGAGAAGGGAGATGGAGATTCTGAGAAGAGGAACGTCTTATTATTATTTTTTTTTTTTTTTGAGACCTGTTTGCTTTTCAGACCATGGAAGAACATTGTTCAATAGAACATTGTTCTGTTGTTTTATAGGTGGACACCCAACTATATAACTTATAGTATGAATATACCTTGTGACTGTAACGGCGTCCACATACATACTTTTACCAGACTTAAGAGGAAATGACCTCCTGGTGACCTCAACAGTACAATATGGGAGCCCACCCTGGAGGAGTCACCTGGCAGCATGACCCAGCGAAGGTTGTTTCTCTTGAGTTGTTGATTCAGGCATCACAACTGGCCCTTTTGTGATGGCGTTGTTTTCGCCCTGCATAAAATGGGTTGACAGAAGACCCCTCTTTCTTTTAAGAACAGCATTAAAATGACAACTTAAAGCCTATGAAAAAGTGAGAATTTTTATGACTTTTCCTTGCAAAACTAGACTATCATAGGAAACAGACAAATAACTTTGAAGAGGAGGATAGAAAAATTGGGGGACTTAGCAAATTAAGACAAATTTATAGAATTTATTGTTTGGTATATTGGAAGTCATGTACAAAGCTACATATTGCAAAGACATTATAACCATGTTCCATAAAGTCAGGAATATAGATAAAGAAAATATCACAGCCCCACAACTCAAGCAAGACAGACAGACAGTCTTCATTTTGAAGTCATTGCTGATACTCTTGTGCATATATGGATTTTCTGTATATTTGCTGAGCAATTTTGTAGCCTGTGCCCTTCACGTGCATTATGAACATATTTTTACGTGTTGTGTAGTCGTCTCCATTCTTGTAATCTTAAAGGATACAAATATATTCTGCTGAGAGACAAACTAGCTTCCTACCTCTAGTGCTTAGATGGATGGCAGGCACTCTGTGCATGTTTGTTGAATGAAAGGAAACCCAGGGCATTTTTTAAAATAATTTTTGCCTGGGATAGAAGGAATTTTATAGAGATTTTACAGTTTGTCAGCGGTTTGTCGTATCCTTCCCTTACATACCACGCTCAGCATGACCGATGTGACTGCAGCGATGATAAGGACAGACTTTACTGGCATCCAGTCTGCCCAGGCAGCCTCTTCCTTTCCAGGGACGGCACAAAAGGAGGGCCTAGCAGGTGGACAGGGTTCAGAGAGTGGTGCTTGCTGGAACTTTGTACACAAGGTAGGATTTTTTTTTTTTTATTTCAGAGTATTATAGGGGTACAAAAATTTTGGTTACATGAATTGCTTTTGTGCCATTGGAGTCAAAGTTGTAAGTGTGCCCATCACCAAGGTAGCGTACATTGTACCTGTCAGGTGTGAATTTACCCGTCCCCTCCTTCCTGCTCTCATCTGCTTCATTTCCGCTGAGTTTTACTACCATAGATGCATGTGAACTAGGACTTTAAAACATGAGTCACTGTCTTGCAGAGTTAACACTTGACACTTGAACAAAAGCAGGTGGCTCTCTGGTGTGTCGACTGCTGACTGGCTGGGCTGGGGGGGTGGGCCCGGGCTCCGTCCAGTCTGGGTGCTGTGTCATCTGTCCACAGAGTGTGGGGAAGAAGTGGTCGGCCACGGGGGATGGCTTCAAATGAAAGCAGGACCTCACGGGCCTCTCGAGACACTAAGTGTCCCTTGGTTCCTAATTAGAGGGTCTAACTTAGAACGCCTTTACCTTTCTGGCTTCTTCCTGAGTGCTCAGAAACCTACCTTGAGAGCAGGTGCTTTGTTGACTTTCTTTCATCCGTCCAGCCTGTAAATAGAACATCTCTTCCGCTCGCCTCTAAGCAGCAAGAGCACAGGTAGTGCTGGGAAGTACAGGGCGTGGGGGAACCCAGACTGGTCCTCGCTTTAGCATGTACCAGTTGCCTCCCTTGGACAGGCATCTTCAATTCCTTGGATACGAGGCATCTCTTTTTTAAAGAGAGAAGGAAATAGGATTTTAAGCACCCCACCTGTCTGCGGGGAGGTGGGGTTGAGCCCAAGCTCTGCGAATCATTGGGTCAAAGTCCTACCCAGACACTCAGAGATAGATCACCCCAGCAGTGGCTTGGAGTGGCAGGTGAGGCGGGGGTCGCCTCGGGTGGTGGTTGTCAGTGGTGTCCACGTTCAGCCTGTAACATGGGTGTATTCTTTCCTGCATTTCTTCCAGGAGCCATCAATTTCCTGCGCTCTCTCCTGGAACCAGACCCTGTGAAGAGGCCAAATATTCAGCAAGCACTGGCGAATCGCTGGCTTAATGAGAATTACACGGGCAAAGTGCCCTGTAACGTCACTTACCCCAACAGGTAACTTCGTGCACACAGAGGGACTCCTCCGAGGGCAGGATGGGACCTGTCGTATGAGCCCTGAACAGTTGTGGATAGGAGATTCAAGGGAAAGCTGTGTCCTCCCTTGGCTGTCCCCCCGCCTCTGCACTGCTGTTAAGCACAGACACGCCCATCTCAGCGTGCAGAGGTGGCGTAGTTGGGGCCATCCTGTGCGGTTGTGCAGTGCACCCCATGGGAGCCCGTCCTCGTCTTCCCCAAGAGGCACCTCTTTCTAGTTCATGTGAAGGGGACCATTTAGACGAGCTGTGGCCCAAGTGTGTGAGTCTGTGTGTATTTCCATGCATGGGTATGTGCGTGTGTGGATATGTTTGTCTGTGTGTCTGTATGTGAATGTGTGTGATCCACCTGTGACCTCACCTGCCAACATCAGGCCAATCCCATGGCATCTCCCCCTCCTCTTTCAACCCACCCTTAGTTTCCTCTTCTACTTTGTTCTTGATGTTTATTTCAGCCCTAAGCACGCCCCCCGCAAAGTAGTGGAGACGGGAAGAAAACGCACAGGAGTCCTTAGTGTCAGGCTGGGTCCCCCGTGGGCTTGCTGTGAAGGGTCACCGTGTCAGTTTCCATGAGCAGGTCCCACAGACGGGAGCCCCAGCTTAGGAACTCTGACATGCACCTTGTGTGGCCTGGGCTTCTGTGTGTTGGGGTACTGACTACAGATGTGAAAGGAAGTACGAGAAAACCTATTCTCACATTTCTCCCACTCGTCTGATACATTGCTAACTAACCTGAACGGGAAGCGAGGGCTGTCACTTTGGCTACGTCAGAGAAAACACGGAGACCACATGGATCTGACACCTTCCCTCTGCCTTCAGAGCCAAGGTGGCCCACACATCTGGCCAAGCTTGGACGAGAGAATTCTAACCGAGGGGGACAGACACAGGGCTGAAAGGACAGGGAAAGGGATGTCCTCCAAGGTTATATTTTCAATGCCCAGAAAGGTCTGGAAACACCCACCGAGCCTTATGAAAGGGCAATACAGTGGGTCTGTATTGGGCTGGAAGTTCCTGAGGAACTTAGGGGACCATGGGAGTCTGCATCCCCACTCCTGGGCCAAATTCACACTCGCTGTGTCCATACGGAAGGTGGTTTCTCTCGGACGCCATCTACAATTCTAGCGTTTGGCTCATGGGAAGTAATTTAAGCAAAGTCTAGGTTACTTAGGTTACCAAGGGAACCTGGAAATAGATTGCCATTTTCCAATACCTGCTCGATTTGGGCCACTTTCTGAAACAGATACCAGAAATATTATCCCAAAGTGAGGCAGACCTCATTACCGATGCTCAGGTGGATAGCAGCACGCAGGTACCGTTTCTGTTAAAGGAGGGGGCATTGGTGCAGCCTAATGAGTCATTAGGCAAATGTAATCACTGTCTAAATGAGCAGGGTCCACCCGCTCAGCGTGGCAGCTGCTGAAGGAAGTGGAGCTGGTATTAGACAGGTGCTTCCCATCCTTCTTGGCTATACCTTCATTCACACAGAATTAGGACGCAGTGGCTCATTTGGTAGCTTTTCCACAAGTTGTAGACAGGCTTTGGTAGATTAAAACTGAAATTTAAGTCCCTTTACTGGTGTTGCCAGATTGGTTTTTCCATTTGGACTTGGTAAGAAGCATAAGAGCTGCACATGCAACTAGTTAGGTGGATTGTAAAAAAAATGGTTTAGATCTTGTATATTAAAGAAAACAACAGCTCCTTGTCTTCTCTTTATGTAAGCCCATTACTCATTTTATACTAGAGGCAAATTAGTGTTCAGTTTTTAAGTAATGAAACCATAATTCTAAACTATTGGGGGAGGTACATGCTATTTACAGTTTTATTTTGAAAAATGTTTATCTTTAAGGCAAAAAAATGTATTTTTTTAATAATTATTTTTCTGGTTTTACCAGCACATAGATAAAGGGAATACAAACATGGGACTAGAGAAGAGAATATCTGCTTTAAAAAGTACGCTTTATAGCCCCAGATTTAATTATTTTAAATGTTGGCAATGTTTTCCTTTCGGGAGAGTAAAGAAAATAAAGTTTTCGTGTTTTCTGCCACTCATGTGTAAGGCCTTCTCCCGTGAAGTCATTTGGGCCTCCAAGTTGATCGCCAGTAGTAGGCAAGAGGGAAAATGTCTTTAAAAGTAAATTTTTTATAATAAGTGTTCATACCAGTCAGGCAGCAGATGTTTGCTGGGCGCCTGCCTGCCCTCTCTGATCTGGGTGCAGACATTTTTACAGCACCAACCTTGCTGCCTCTTCCTGTCCCCCAGCCAGGGGCCTGGACAGTCTCTTTGCCCCTCTCTGCCCCTCTCTGCTCTGGGGATGGTGGGAGGGAAGGCGGTCATAGGTAATACAGGACAGAGATAGACCACATTGGATCTGTGGTTTAAAAAGGGATTTCTTTGGAATTTGCTTTGTTCAAATTGTATCTAGTGTTCTAGAACACCTTACCATTCTCTGTGTCACCCAAACATGCCACAGTAATACAAATTCAATACCTGTTGTTGGAGAACACCAAATATATACATTGCTTATTGGAAAAGGTTTAAAATATTATTCTTAGTCAAGAGTCAGGGAGTCTATATTTTGGCAGAACTCCCGGGTTTTTCTTGTTGTTGTTGTTGTTTATGGGGTTTTTTTTTTGGTTTTGTTTTGAGAGAGTCTCTCTCTATCGCTGAGGCTGGAGTGCAGTGGCATCATCATAGCTCACAGCAACCTTTCAAACTCCTGGGCTCAAGCGATCCTCCTGCCTCAGCCTCCCGAGTAGCTGGGACTCTCTTGCTCAGGCTAGTATTGAACTCCTGGCCTCAAGCAATCTTCCCGCCTTGGCCTCCCAAAGTGCTAGGATTACAGGCATGAGCCACTGCACCTGGCCAGGGCCCCTGTCTTTGAAGACAACAGATATAAAGGCCAGAGGTGGCCTGTGTAACCCTGCACACCTGCCTCATCTCACCTCTGCCTTGGGGGCACCGCACACCTTCCATGGCACCTGCGGGCGGGTGGGGGATGGTGGCCTTGCTAGGAGCAGGGGCCACCAGCATGATCTTATTGGCCAGGGCAGGGCCACACCCACACTGGAGTTCCCAGGTATTTTCAAACAACTGCACCCTCTGTGTTAAGTGTTCTGGCAAACCTCAAGTAGTGTATTTTTTTAAACAAACATGTTATTAATATTTTTTACCACTAGTCATTCTAATCTCCCTCCCACCCATCACCTAGAATTTGTAATCTTGTGGCACAAAGGAGCGAGGAAGGCTGGTTTCATTGTTTTTCCGGCATGTTTTTTTTTTCCTTGGGCAGTTTTTAGTTAATTCTAGGGAGGGAGAGCTGGTGTAGGTTCCACCAACCACTGGAGGACGGTGGTCAGGAGACCTAGTCTGCTCCCGGCGCCCCTAACAACTGGCGGTGCAAACTGGGCAGTTCGGTCTCCTTTTCTTTGCAGTGATGGGGTTACACTGCGGGGTTTCTCTGGCTTTCTGGTTCTGAGGTTCTATCAGAAATACTTGCAGACCCTTTGGCAGAAGCTACAAGCCGTCCAGTCAGATGAGGTTGCTTTCTGCTCAGAGCGTCCTATTTGCACCTCTCTTAAAGGGGTTTGGAATGTTCTTTTGGCACCTCCACTCTACCAACACTCACGCTCCTAATAACTCCCGGCTTGACTTCTTGTTCTCTGCATCCGTTGCCTGTGTCTGTTTATGGGAGAGGCAGCGAATGTGCAGGGTTAGCACCTGGGCTCTGGCCTGGCTGCTTGGGGGTTAACTCTGCGGCTGCTGCTTCCTGCCTGCAGGACCCCGGCCAAGTCACTGGATTGCTGCGAGCTTCAGTTTCTTCCTCTGCAAAATGGGGAGAATGACAGCTCCTACTCATAGGACTGTCGGGAGGATGAAGTGGGTTTATATTCTCTCTTCTCCACTGGAATGTAAGCTCCAGGGATTTGGCAGGTGAATGAAGGAAGGCGTGAATAAATGAGTGCCTGGTATTTCTTAGGCATTTTATCCCAAAGACTTTAGCTTTGCAATGTCCCTATAAAGTAGCTTTTTTTTTTTTTTGAGACAGAGTCTCACTATATTGCCCAGGCTAGAGTGAGTGCCGTGGCGTCAGCCTAGCTCACGGCAACCTCAATCTCCTGGACTCAGGCCATCTTCCTGCCTCAGCCTCCTGAGTAGCTGGGACTACAGGCATGCACCACCATGCCCGGCTAATTTTTTTCTATATATATTAGTTGGCCAAGTAATTTCTTTCTATTTATAGTAGAGACAGGGTCTCACTCTTGCTCAGGCTGGTTTCGAACTCCTGACCTCGAGCAATACGCCCGCCTCAGCCTCCCAGAGTGCTAGGATTACAGGCGTGAGCCACCGCACCCGGCCATTATAAAATAGCTTTAACCTGCCTTCCTCTGAGAGCACCCCCACATTACAGATGGGCCCCAGGCTGCCCACGTGAGAACTCGGGGAACTCTCCTCCCTCTTCCTCTAAACATGGTCTGGCTGCCTCCCGAATACCTGCCTTTCTCAACCCCAAACCCAGATTAAGCGTGGCCTCTATTCATGGCAATAAATACATTGTAAGGAAAGAATGTATAATCGGAAAGAAATTTAAGGGACAAGTGGGGAATTTGAATATAATCTGGATATGAGATGACATGAAGGGATTATTGAAATTTTATTGGGTGTGTTGATAGTCTTGTGGTTCTGCCAGAAATGTCTCCTGTTTGGAAGATGCACACTTGGAAGAAGTATCAAGGGGTGAAATGTCATGATGTCTGTAATTTAAAATACCTTAGCAAAAAAAAATGTGTGTATATATATATATATATATATATATATATGAAGCAAGTATGGCAAAGTGTTCATTGGTACATGCAGGTGATGGCATGCATAGGTAATTATGCTGTTCCCTGCATTCTTCTGAGTACATGGCATTTTTCCTAATAAAAAGTGAATGAATGGATGAATGAGTGGGTGAATGAATGCACCTGATTGTGCGCAGGGGGCCTGTGTGGGCCGACTCCGTGCTGCCAGGGGCGAGGTGACCGGGTCTCTGTCCCCGCCTGGCAGGATTTCCCTGGAGGACCTGAGCCCCAGCGTGGTGCTGCACATGACTGAGAAGCTGGGCTACAAGAACAGCGACGTGATCAACACTGTGCTCTCCAACCGCGCCTGCCACATCCTCGCCATCTACTTCCTCCTCAACAAGAAACTCGAGCGCTATTTGTCAGGGGTGAGTGGGGCCCCGACGGGCGGTTTCCTCTGCTCTCTGTGGAAGAAAGAGCTCTTCTACCCAAAGTGTTTCCCAGTGGCTGACACTCGATCCAAGCTGCTAATTTTACCGAATGTGAGGCTGAGTTTCCTGAACGGGGAGTAACGTAGAAGCCAAGCCTGCTTCTCAGGTAGCACTTTTTGTCTGGGGTGTTTCTCAGATATTCTCCCACACGGCTAAGCCCTGGGCAGAATTGCGAGGAGGTTCAAGCCTCTTTTTCCTTCAGCTTCTCTGTTGCCTTTTTTTTTTTTTTGCCTTTGCTCCTTGAATTCCCCATATTAGAGGTTTGGGGGGGCTCCCCTGGCCATAAAAGCTGGAGAGCAGTGTCTTCTGGCATTGGTCTCCAAAGTATGGTGTAGGAGGAAGCTGCCGCTATTTACTTTCACTTCTCCAGAAAATAGAAATGAAGTTGAGCTTCACTAACTTGGCCCTGATGCCTTCACTCAGTCTGGGTGTCAGAAAGTTCTAGTGTCCCATGTCACATACGAGTTGCAGTAGCAGTCCCACAGCATGGGGTGGATAGTGGTACCCTGACCCCTTGGTTCCCTGTATCATTTTTGGGTAAGGGAATGTACATGCTTTGGTATCTAGTTACGAATAAATCATCTCTCTCCGAATGGGCGATGGCTTAAAAAGAATTCCGCAAAGAAAACTGGATCCAAGACAATATGGATCCAAGACAATATATGTAGGTACATCTCCTGCTTCTACTCAGAGTGGTGGGTGCTGATGAGATCTAACAGGGAGTCAGCCAAAAAAGTCTAGAGTTGTGAGGGAGCCCGTCTGCAACTGATTCAGGATCCACTTTCATGAAGGACGACCTCACCCTGTGTATATTGCATCTTGTCATGGGCTGGTGTGGGGTTGTCTCCTTTAGGAAGACATTTAGAATCCAGAACATGAGGACAAACTTCTAGACTTTTTTCAGTGCTATTTAAAGTCATGGGATAGCCCAGTATGTCACAAAAGTCCACCAAACAATAGGCTTAAAAACCTTTTCTGAGTTTTCTGTATTAGAGAAAAAGATGAAAGTCCACCTGCATTTGGGCAATGATCTTCTCCCTGCTGTGGCAAAAAGAACCAAAGTCCTGCCCAGAAGACATAGATTTGGGAGACACGTAGAGAACATTGCTGAACCTATAAAGAACCCGATGGGAGGTTTGTTAAACATCTGGATGAAAGTCCAGATGTTTCCAAGCTGATTCAGCTTAGGCTATGTGCTAGATTTTGCTTCCGCAAGAAATTAATTATGGAACTACTTTTTTTTTTTTCTTTTTGGGGAAACCACCAAAGGAAAGATGTATAAAAGAAGAAAGATTGTCAACAGTAAAAGGCTTTTAAAAATATAAACAGTGTTTTGTGGGGAAAAAGAAAGTGCTCTGTGTAAGCAACGATGGGGTGGCACTTCTGATGGGGACACAGTCGTAGTTTGAGGCTTGATTTCAGAGTTGGTGCCACTGTGGCTGCATTGCTCGTGGGAAAGCAACTGTGGGAGAGCTGTCAAATCTAGGAGGACAGGACTTTCAATGCACAGTATATTATTTACATTATTTTATTATGTGATAAGGAGAGACTGCAAAAATCTCTTGTATCACACAGCGGTTCTTTGTTCTCTCATCATAAGGAACTTGGAAGACATATTGGACTTGTAGTGCTATCTCTTTTCTTTTTTATAAGAAGACAATATGTCCTGAATTTCTTTCTTAACCTTTTTAATTACCATTTTATTACATATTTCTTTATTTACATGGCGTATTAGTACAAAGGTGCATGCTTATAACTTATAAATAAATATGCATGTGTTGTAGGTGCCTGTGTACAACTTTTTCACCTGTAAGGGCTCAAGGTCATGCCATTTGGAGACCATACTATGCTATAGAGAGTGGAAGTTAAAAATTTAAATGGTTCTCAAGTAAAAGGAAAAGATGGTTAAGGCAGTGATTTTCTTTTTCAAATGATGAATGCTGTTCAAAAATTCATTACTAAAATATGTTTTCATGAAACTACGTTATAAAATTCATGATTTCATGGGTTAAAGAATGACATTGCTACTTTCTTAAGCAAGTTAGCGGGTTCAAACATTCTTCTTTTGGCAGAACTAGTTCTTTGGGTGTTGACCGAGTTAAGATGGTCTTAGTTTTTTAAAAAGTTTCCTATGGCTGCTTCCCCATGTGCAGAGACAAACTTAGGTCATTCACTCTCTTCTTAAACAATCACATAGCTCATCTTAAGCCAGAGAGGTATTTTGTCAGAGCTCCTGGGCTGTGTTTTCATTCTGTCCAGGTGTCTTGCCATCTGCCGCCTTTCTGCTTCTCCACTTTGTCCAGCATCTGGGTTGTCAGTGTTGCAAAGCTTAGGGTGGCTTTGTCTACTGGGGGAACTGAGTTTCTCCAGAAACTTTAGCTGATATTGTTCTAACTGGAAAAAGGTTATTTTTTTAAAAATTAATTTTTAATTAACAAAAAATTATATTAATATATGTTATCATAGACATGTTTTGAAATATATGCACATTGTGGAATGACTAAACAACATATATAAAAACCACATGTAGGCCGGGCGCTGTGGCTCACGCCTGTAATCCTAGCTCTTGGGAGGCCGAGGCGGGCGGATTGCTCAAGGTCAGGAGTTCAAAACCAGCCTGAGCAAGAGCGAGACCCCGTCTCTACTATAAACAGAAAGAAATTAATTGGCCAACTGATATATATATAAAAAAAATTAGCCGGGCATGGTGGCGCATGCCTGTAGTCCCAGCTACTCGGGAGGCTTAGGCAGAAGGATCACTCCAGCCCAGGAGTTTGAGGTTGCTGTGAGCTAGGCTGACGCCACGGCACTCACTCTAGCCTGGACAACAAAGTGAGACTCTGTCTCAAAAAAAAAAAAAACAAAAAACCACATGTACTTATTATCATTTTTTTTGTCATGAGGACAAGTAAGATCTACTCTTAGTGATTTTCAGGAATATAATACATTGGTATAAACTATAGTCACCATGTTGTACAATAGATTGCCTGAACTTACTCCTGCTATCTAACTGATGTAAGGTGATGTCTCATTGTGATTTTAATTTACATCTACCTGATGATTCATGATATTGAGTACCTTTTTATGTACCTTTTGGCCATTTGTATATCTTTTGAGAAATGTCTTCAGGTCCTTTGCCCATTTTAAATTGGGTTATATGGAATTTTGCTATTGAGTTGTTTGAATTCTTTTAATATTCTGGATATTAACCCCTTATCAGATATATTTTTTGCTCTTATTTTCTGCTGTTCCATAAGTTGTCTCTTCACTCTGTTGATTATTTTCTTTGCTATGCAGAAGCTTTTAGTTTAATGGAATTCATTTGTCTATTTTTGTTTTTGTTGCCTGTGCTTTGGGGATCGTATCAATAAATCATTGTTCAGACCACTGGCATGGAGCTGTCCCCCATGTTGTCTTCTAGTAGTTTTTCAGTTTCAGGATTTACATTTAAGTCTTTAATCCATTTTGAGTTGATTTTTGTATGTAATATGAAATATGAGTGTAATTTTGTTTTTTAGCATGTGGATATCCAGTTTTCCCAACACTGTTTATAGACTGTTCTTTCCCCATTGTGTGGTCTGGGAGACTTTGTCAAAAATCTATTGACCACAAATGGATGGATTTACTTCCAGGCTCTCTATTTTGTCCTATTAGTCTGTATGTTTTTATGCCAGTACCATGCTGTTCTGGTTATTATAGGTTTGTAGTATATTTTTAAGTCAGGTAGTGTGATGCCTCTTGATGGCTCAAGATTGCTTTGGCTATTTGGGGTCTTTTGTGGTTCCCTATGAATTTTAGGATTGTTTTTTCTCTGTCAATGGAAAATGTCATTGGAATTTTTATAGGGATTGCATTGAATCTGTAGATTACTTTGGGTAGTGTGGACATTTTAACAATATTAATTTTTCCAATGCATGCTATTTATTTGTCTTCTTCTTCTTTTTTTTTATGAATGTTTTATAGTTCTCAGTGTACAAGTCTGTCACTTCCTTGGTTAAATTTGTTTCTAGGCATTTTTTTGGTAGATATTATAAATGGGATTGTTTTCTTGATTTCATTTTTGAATAGTTTACCATTAGTGTATGGAAACACTACTGATTTTTGCATGTTGATTTTGTATCCTGCAACTTTACTGAATTTGTTTATTAGTTTGAACAGGCTTTTTTTTTTTTTGGGTGGTATCTTTAGAGTTTTCTATGTATATGATTAGGGTCTTACGTATGATAAAAACAGCCACTTGCTTAGAGTATGTATTTTTAGACCAGGTATGTCTTACGATTTAGGGTTAAATGTGAAACAGACACAATAAAACTCAATGCTGGCCTGAGAATCCATACTCTAGACAAAGTGGCTGTTTTTAACTAGAGTGAATTAATCCCAGTAGGCAACTGTAGCTAGTCTGCTCAGTAATTTCCACACATTGCTAACTTAATTGTACTATATTCACTGTCCCAGTTATTAATTTTATCAACCAATTACTAATACCCTGTGTATAATTCTGAAGCCCAATCTAGTGAACTAAAAAGTAAAACGCTATACCTTAATTGCCATTTCTTTCCTTATCTCTTGGTTTTCTCTTTTTAAAACCAAGAAGGATGTATTTTAAGTTGGAAAGCCTGTAAGGGCATTCATTAACCATTTGTTGATTGATAAATTAATCAGTCATTTAATTTTACCTGTTTCCAGACAGGATTACACCTACATCATCTCAAATGCAATTGTCTATCTTCTTCGAGCTATATTGTGAATTGCTGTGGCTTTCATTTTGGTAGGATATGTGTGTGTGCTGTTTTAAAATAAATCAAACAAGCAAGATCGATATCCTGTTCGGGGGGTTGATAAAACAATTTATTCTCCCTAGCTCCCCTATTTGGTTTCTGCTTTCACATCTTGGAGTAGTTTTTATTGTACAAATGAAAGAACTAAAGCCCAGCAAGGTGCAGTGACCTGCTCATGGTCACCTGGCCCTTTGCTAGCATCTCATTTGCTAGCAAATGAGAAGTAATGGAAGTAGGTCGCTTGACTGTGGGCCCAGGGCTCTCTCCACACTGCACCCTGCTTGCTGGCCATCCTGGAATGAGACTCTGCATTGCAGTTTTCTGGCCTGCCAACCATTTGCAGCACTCCCTCAGCCAAGGACTGGTTTAAACATTAATGACTGCTTAAAGGACATTTCTATTTCTGAGAGTTAAGCCATACTTTTTCTTTTCTCCTCTGGCAGAAATCTGACATCCAGGACAGCATCTGCTACAAGACCCAGCTCTACCAGATAGAAAAATGCAGGGCCACCAAGGAGCCCTATGAGGTGGGTGATCTCTGAGGCAAAATGTGGGGTCTCTTAGGAGGCGTGGATTTCCATTTTGCAGGGAGAGTAATTACCACCAGTGCTACCTACCAGTTACTGTAAGACACTGAAGCGACAAAAGACAAATCCTCTCGTAGCTGAGGCCTTGAGAAATGGTTTATAGCGGAGCTACCATCACTGTCTCTAAACCCTGGTTCTCATTAGTAGCTACACATGAGTCACCGGGAATATTTAAACATCTGGGTGCCCAGACTCCCCTCTGACCAGTTAAGTCAAATCTCAGGAGGTGGGACTTAAGTAGCAGTATTTTTTAAAGCTCCCTGAGTGATTCCAGTGAGCAGTACAGGTTGGAAACCACAGTCAGATCTCCAAAGGGCGAAAATGAGATATCCAATGTTCTCACTCATATGTGGGAGCTAAAAAAAACAGAAGAAATTGAGCTCTTAGAAGTAGAGAATAGAATTATGGTTGCTAGAGGCTGGGAAGAGTAGGGAAGAGAGAAGTTGGTTTCCTGATCCAAATTTATAGCCAGAGAGGAGGAATAAGTTCTTGTGTTCCATGACACAGTAGGATGACTAGTTAATAAGAATTTATTGTATATGTTCAAAAGGCTAGAAGAAAGGAATTTGAATGTTCCCAACACAAAGACATGATAAATGTGTGAGGTGACAGATATGCTAATTACCCTGATTTGATCATTGCACACTGTATACATGTATCAAAACATCACTCAGTGCCCCATAAATATATGCAATTATTAGGTGTCAGCTAAAAATAAAAGGTAAAAATGCAAATGCTGAAAAAAAATGAGATTATAAAAAAATATAGCTGAGACTAACCCTGGGCACCAGGAGAAGAAGGTAGGAGGGGAGTGGGGAGTTTTGGATAAGGTGAGCTTTCCTATTCAGCTGTTGCTGGTGACTCGATGTCACCTGGAAAAATACCACGCTTCGATTCAGAATAAAAACTAGTATCCTATGGCAGAGAGTCACAAATTTGGATCCCAAATACTTGTTTGTAAGGAGATTGTGAATTCCAGATCCAAGACCAGGTGTGTCGGGGTGAGGTGTTTCCTTGAGACCCCTTACGCACCTTTTGTCAGGTGGGCTCTTCCCCTCGGGAGCCTGTCCCATGTCCCCCAAGTGTCCCTGCTGTGGGAACCCCTCCTCGGACACCCAAGAATCCCTTTGAGAAGAGAACAAAAAGGCAACCTCCCTTCATGCCCTGGGGGAGGCCACAGGCCTGGCCTCGTCCCTCTTTCCTTTTCCAGCGTCAAGTTTTCGTCCTGATCCCACCTGCCACGCGCCTGTCACTCTGAGTGCAGGGCGGGTGATTACCACGCCCAGCACTGGGCCCCAGGGACATTGAGGACTGAGAGCGCCCAGCCGCCAGGCACCGCGTGTGAATGTGACGGGAGCGCAGGAAGGGACCGCCCTGAGTGCCGAGGCCGGGGAGAGTGGCCATTCCACTCTGCCCATGCGCAGGGGGTGGGCAGAGAGCGGCAGAGGCCATGGTGAAGGGTGGTCAGGGAGGGGGCAGGGGAGACCACGGGGATGGGAAAGGTCACGTACGAAATGGCCCGCAGCGTCGGCTGAGCAGTTAGTTGTTCCAAGCATGTTGGGGAGGACGGCTTCATGGCGGTGGAGAAGGCAGAGGGGAGGTGGCGCGGATTGGGGCGGTGGAAGACAGGAAGTGAAGACAGTGAACATCCTCCTCTCTGTCATCGATGCTCTGATGGAAGGAGAGGCTGCCTTGCCGGGGCTGGATGCCTCCTCCCTCCAAGTCGGGCGGTGGGGCCCCGGGCGATAAGGGTGGAGATGGGCCCTTTGCAGGCTGGGCCTGGCGGGCAGGTGTGAGCTCAGGCAAGGCTGTCGGACTGGAAGCAGGATGGGGGCCCTGTCAGGACCCAGATGCCTCCTGAGCTCCAGGTCTCTCTGGCCAGTTGCCTACTAAATGGTAACCTCCTGTCTTGGGAGGGAAGGCGTCTCAACTCTAGCATGCTCAGAACCAACGCTCCCTCCCCACCCCACCCCATAGCAGCCACCCAGGTCCTGCTTGCTTCTGCCTCGGCTCCCAGCGCCAGTCCCCTCCCCGCCAGTCCTGTCCCTGCTCCTTGCTTTGTGCACAGTCCTCCGCACCACCACCCCATCCCCTGCCTTTGGGCTTGCTGTGCACATGTTGTTTCTTCTTCCAGAGTGTTCTCCCCACCCCTCTTTGCCGAGTTTATCTTGCATCTTAAGATCCCAAGGCAAGGTCAGCTCTTTGTGGACCCCTGCCGTTCCCTAACCTCTGTTACCCGGTCCCATCCCTCCAGCAAGGGCTTTCTCAGTTTTCATCCTGCGGCCTGTCCCTGTGCGCAGCTCTTCATTTGGTTGGGGGTTATTCGATTAACAGCTCTCTCCCTCTGGGCTGTGAGAGCCATAAGATCGAGGACTGAGTCCCTCTGGCTCCTCTCAGTATCCTTGAGTCCACACAATGCCTGGCATACAGTAGGTGCTCAGTAAATATTTGCTTAATGAACAAATGCAAGAATCAAGTGAGCCTTGACCTGAGTCTCAGAAAGTGGAGAGGACTGGGACAGGCCATTGAAGAAGGTAGAACATTCCAGGTGGGACCTGTATCTGGATTAAAGTCAGGGGGACAGCTGCAGCATAGCACACAAGTGGCGTCATCACCACCAGGTGGCTGTGCCTTAAGGCAGGAGGGGACTCTGTGGTCACTTGCACTTGCCAATGTCTCCCCAGCTGGAGTCCAAGGCGTGAAGATTTCGGGGTTAGGCTCCTTTGTCTCTTGGTTTGCATTCGACTCTTTAGGGCCCTAAAGAATGATGCAGACTTAGATGCACCGCCAGCCCCACGGGGGTGTCTAAGTAACCCATAAGCCACCTTGCTGACCCCCTCGTCCACGTCGACCTTGCACGCGCCCCACGACGATTGTGTTCGAAGGCACCAGCACTGCGATGGGAAGAGCCGGCCCTTCTTCCCTCCAGATTCTTTTTCTCTGTTATTTCATTTGGCCTGAAAACACAGGCCAAATGAGCATTTTAAACATTTGTTGAAATATTTAACGGTTAGGATTTAAATAGGAACACTAACGGGCAAACAGCATTTCAGTTTTCTATGATCCATTTGTTTTCTCCAAACTGCGCTGCTACTTCTACTAATTAAATCATAGCTATTAACCAGATTATCCAACTTTTCTCTGTGGGAACCTAGCAAGTGGAATGGGGCTAGTTGGCAGAAGCGTTAGGAAGGTCTGGAAGGGCCCAGACTTCACAGGTCAAGGCGGCTCAGAGCTGCTGGGGTTCCCTCCAGTTGCCCTTGGTGGGCCAGGAGGAGAGGTTGGGGTGGGCGGGCAGAGGGAGTGCCGGGCAGAAGTTTCAGGTCGTGGGAAAATCGTGGTGTGGCTCAGAGTCTGAGCCCCTCCCCCCATCCCCCACCCGCCCCAGGGACTGAGTGCAAGCAGTGGCCCCTTCATTTCTCTTGATTCTGGTTCTTTTTGTCCTAGGAGACAAAGGAGCTGAATTAAGTTGAAAAAACTTCCCCATTGGGATTACAGTGCTGCGATTTTATGGGCTCTACCATTTTCTCCACTTCTCTTTCCTGTAACAGGCAGAGAATATATCTGTAAAAGTGGGACGCGTTTCTCCTCTGAGAACACGGATACACGTGTGGCCCGAGGGACTCCTCTTCCTAAAAAAGGGACCCTCTGGGGCCGTGGGGGTTGAGGCGCGGGGTGGGCATCATTTTTAAACTGACTTATTTATGAAAAAAGCCATATGGAACCCAAAGCCAGTTGTGTTAAAGGCTTTTTAAAAGATAATATTAGTTTGCAAAGAAAATTGTAAACTGTAACTAGGAGATCTTCTCTGCGGTGATAAAGTAATATTGGCGTTTTGGGAGGAAACTCATGCAGAGAGAGGCAGTGGGACTGGATTTGTCTGCCAGGGCTGCCGTAACTGGTGCCACAAACTGGGCAGAAGTTGATCCCCCGCAGTCTGGAGGCTGGGAGTCCAAGATCAAGGTGTTGGCAGGGCTGATTCCCCCCGAGGGCTGTGCGGAGAGTCTGTTCCAGGCCGCCCCCCTCCCCGCTGCCGGGGGTTTGGCAGTCTTTGATGTTCCTTGGCTCAAAGGCACATCACCACGATGGCTGTCTTCATCTTCACGTGGTATTCTCCTTGTGTGCCTGCCTGTGTCCAAATCTCTCCGTGGCACAAGGACACCAGTCACTGTGCATTAGGACCCACCCTAATAACCTCATTTGAACTTGATTACCTCTGTCTCAACAAGGTCCAGTTCTGAGCTCCTAGGAGTTAGGACTTCAATCTATGAATTTTGGGAGACTACAGTTTAACCCACAATAGAAACTATAAGTGTATAGGCAAATATTGAAATGTTCACTTTGTGTCTTGTTTCAAAATTTATACAACTTGCTATAATAAAGTTGAGAATTGGGTCGAACAGTTTGCGACGTTAGAAATGAGGATGTTACTTTTGGGGGACAGAGTGACTAGGAGAGGGCACGGGTGCGCAGGGGGAGGGAAGCTTCTGGGTGCTGGCCGGGCTCTGTGTCTGGGTCGGGGTGCCGTTTCTGTGGGTGCTGGTGCCATTTTGAGAAAACACATCAAGCTGCTTACTTATCACTAGAGCAGTCCCGGTTCTGCGTCTTAGATTTTAATAAAGAGTTTACCTAGAAAATCTATTCAGCACATGAATTAGGACATCTGTGGCCCACTTCCACGACGATTTCAGAGTTTTGTTGTTGTCAGTCGTTTTGTCCGTAAACATTGAAATGAAGAGTTCTCAGCCAGAACTGCAGGGGAAGCGGTAGAGGGGGAGAGTTTGGGGAATACAGAGCAGGTGCAGCTTTTTGAATTGTTAAAAATGCTGCTTTCCACAGGCCTCCCTGGACACCTGGACCAGAGACCTTGAATTCCATGCTGTGCAGGTAAGAATGGGGGGGGGTTATGATGTATTAGTCTGGGTTCACCAGAGAAACTGGACCAGTGTACACACACACATAAATGGAGAGGGAGAGAAAGATTGAAATTGAGATTTGTTTTAAGGAATTGGCTGACATGATTGTGCAGGCTCTAAGTTCAAAATCAGCAGGGCAGGCCAGCAGGCTGGAGACTTGGGGGAGAGTTAATGTTGCCGTTTCAACCCCAAAGGCCACCGAGAGGCAGAATTTCTTTTGCCAGAAGACCTCATTCTTTTTTCCTTAAGGCCTTTGATTGGATGAGAACCACCCACATTATGGAGGGTAATCTACTTTACTTAAAGTCTACTGATTTAAATGTTAATTGCATCTTACAAATACCTTCACAGCAACATCTAGCCTGGTGTTTGCGCAAACAGCTGGGTACCATGGTCTGGCCAAGCTGACATGTGACATTAATCCTCACTTGGGATCCTGAGGGTTGGCCCGTCTCTGCCCGGGGCACGAGGGTCTGTATACCCCTTCCTTATCCTGAATTAAAATGTACAGAATCCTGTTGTGGGTGAGTTAAGCAGAATCCCTAAGATCAGATAGGTGCATTCTAAATGGAGCTGACTTTTTTATTATTGCCCTGCTGTAACTGCACACCTGGCTTTGCATCCTGTTTCCACCTGTTTGAGACATGGGGTTTGTAATGGTCTTAACGAGCTCCCTGGATTGGGGGCCTAATTTATGAACCAAGCTCTTTTTTTTTTCTTTTTTTCTTTTTTTTTTTTTATCAATTCACTCATGTTTTTTTCTGTGGCAAAATCAGACTTTCCTTTATGTGACCTTATGTGATAGGCAAAAAGGAACCAAAACCAACCAAGCAGCCAGCAACACCCAGGTCCCTGGGCCATCCCAGGTGGTAGCAGGTGGCACCTGGTTCTGATGTGCCAAGTGGCTGGGTGACGCTTGCTATCCAGCAGAGGGACAGCAAGTTCCAGAAGAGCCCAGGACGAGCTGGGCTTGTTAGAGTTACTCAAAGAAAACTCAGCTCCCCGGGCTCCTCTGCTGCAGAAGGGAGAGGAACCCTCCCAGGCACGGTTCTTCCCCCAGCCTGGGCTGACCGGGACGCAGAGCAGTGTCTGCCCCTGTTAAATCAATGCTTTTGCTGTTCAGACGGTGAAGCAGGTGCCAGGTTCATTTTTATCCTCCCTGAGCTGGGACAGACCCACACTTTTGGTGACAAATGGGCAAGTCACTTGCCCAGCGTCACCCAACAAGTTCTGGAGAAAGCCAGGAATGGATCCCAGATGTCCAGACTGCCAGGCCACGACCACAGCTGGTGTCATTGGGTGCAACACCCATGGGAGCAAAGCTGAGAAGGAAGGGGGAGGGTGCAGGTCTTTGGAACGTAGAGCCACCAGTGGCCACCGTACCCTAGTGGCACAGCCATCAAGAGAGAGGCCAAGGGGGCCAGCTCTCTGCAGTTCAGTCCTCAGAGGCTGAAGCTGGGGCTTCCTCCTGGCACCAGCTGCTGGAGCCTGCAGAGATCACTGGAAGCTCCGTGGGTCACCTCCGGGCTTATCTCTCTCTTCTGTGGAACAATATACGACATCAGTGGTCTTGAGTAGAGGATCCTTTATGGAGCCACGTTTTCACAGGGTCCCATTTTGTTAATGTCCATGCATGTCTGCAGTGGATGGAAACGGTGGATGGAGAACAAGAAGTTGTCTGCATGTGGCTTGCTTGCATCCAGGGCCTCACGTGGTCCCCTCTCTGATCTGCCTTGTGGGGTTGGGGCTGTGCCATGAGGCTGCAGAGAGAGTGTGCTCAGAACTGGGACCTTGAATTGCATCACCCACCGTTGCAGTTCCAAGTCCGCTTGGGTGCTGGGAGCACTGCCCGGGGAGCACGGGAGGGAAGCCAGGAGTCCCTGCAGGCCGCAGCATTGCAGAGTGAGGAGCGAGAACATGTGTAGGGGGGTGTGATTAGTCCCTCTCAAGATCTGTTTCTGTTATGTAAGGCCATTTAGCATCCTGCTCCCTAGGAAATTTCGTTCGGAGAAAATAGGCCATGCAAATGAAAAGGTGTAATCGGGTGATCGGTTGCATTAGGTAACATGTGCTCGGAGGGCAGGGAGCAGGGCTGGTTGTAAACAAACATGTTTCCTCTGGGCTGTTGACTCTTTTACATGGGCTGACCATGAGTTTGTTCCCTGTAGGGAGCCGTCAGGGGTGAATTCTTGATTTCCCCCTAGAAAGCAGTTACTCTGAGATCCCCGATTCTTTTAAGCTAAGAAGGATATTCTGGAGGTTTGGGGAGGATGATTGCCAGGATGATTGGGATTAAGTTTACAAACATGGCCTTAGCAGGGTTTCCCACAAGTTTCTGTCTGGTCGTACATTTTCCCTTCTTCTGCCCCCATAGTGAGCTTTCTACTCATTGCCAAATAGCTCTTTGTCAGTAACAGGAGAAATTTGGTCCTACAGGCCAACCTTGGTCTGTTCCACAACAAACACTCACACGTACATTTCCTCCTGCGAAGGAGCTCTATCTGGTGGCAGTACTGGCCCCTAGAAGTTTTGCATCTTGATCATTAAGCCTTTGAGGACCCAAAAAGGTTGGAAAGGAGCTGAAATGAACCCATAAAGCCACCAGCAGCTCTTTAAACATGGGGGTCCCAGAGCAGCTTGAAGAAAGGTTTGCTGATAGGTTTAAAAAGCAGTCCTAAAAAGGAAGGAGCTGCAATTTTGTCTTTTCTTCCAAATATTGTTTTAAAATGTATGACGAAGGTATGTTTGATTATTTCTTCCTGTTCAAGGTGTTAATAGGTAGAACGGATGACTTTCGCATGAAAATAGAGATAGAACCAAGCAAAAGAAAGAGATCTGCCAGACTTTTCAGGAAAGGCCTCTTTGATGCTAGGTGTGTGGTGTGTGTGTGTGTGTATGTGTGTGTGTGTGTGTGTGTGTGTGTGTGTGTGTGTGTGTGTGTGTATGTAAAAGCTCCTTCTCCTTCACCTTCGAGAAGGTGGGCTGTGAGTGCGTCATGGAAAACAGAGAGAGAGAGAGAAGCAGTGCAAGGTTGTCCTTGTTCTCTGCTGGCTTAGCCAAGGTGACCTGGAGCACTTGGTCCGCTTCGTAGCATCCCAGAGACAGCCTGGGGCATGTGGCCTCTGCGGTAGTATTCAGATGGCGTTGGAGCAGCCGCGGGTCTGCAGCGAGCTCCTGCCTCCACGCCAGCAGCTATGCCTGGCCTTTCCACTGTTGGAGTCACCTGTCCCCCGCCCCCGGCTCTGCGAGTACACTGCCAAGTCGAGGGTTGACAGCACTGACCTCAGGGCTGAGGAAAATCTGAGTTTGCACAGGGGTCACGGGTGGATTATTTAACCACGTCAGGCCGTTTCCTCATGAGGAAAAGAGGTCACAGAATTTGCCTCCTGGTGGGTCATGCTCTTAGAGCACTGTCTGGCCCCCTGCATGCTCTCAAAAAAGGCTGGTGGCAGCTGCTAAGGTGCTGAGGAGGCAGGGTGCGGAAGTTCGCCTCTCCTGTCTCCCCGCCTCCCTGCTCTGCTGGGGACAAGCCGGGTCCCCAAGATGCTGCAGGCACCCCTTTCCCGTTTCTCCCCACTGTTCTTCCCCACTCAAGAACCGGAAAGGGCCACAAAAGTGCAAAGAGGTGCTTCCTTGAGAAGCTTTGCAACCACATACGTGAAAAATAGATGAGCTCTCTTGATTTGCAGAAGCTTTAGTTAAGGGCAAACATGTGAAAATACATCTTTTTCTTCCTCATCCGGGGTGAGGTCAGGGATGCAGTTGCCTCTGTTTAACAGGAAACATCAAGCCCAGTCTTTAAGGCCAGCAAAAAAGAACTTCTGCGGCTGCTTCTTAGTGACATCACCACCCTTCCCAGAAGCTTGAATTCAATTTACTTTAATTCAGTTCAGTTTCCACCAGCCTTTTTTTTTTTTTTTTTTAGACTTACTTTTTTTCCTGCTACCGTGCTGAAATTATCAAGGAAACCCTTTCTGTGTCTTTTTTTTTTTTTTTTTAACATTTCAAGAACTATTAAGCTGTCTCTAAGCATCTGGCTTTATGCCAGAGGCTGTGGGCTTGAAGATATATAAAATACTCAAATTCATTCCCATTAGAGGGATTATAATCTAGCCCAGCAAAGGCAAGACCTACGGCAAAAAAAAAAAGGCTACATGCAAGCGAGTTTTAAGTACACAAGTAAGTGCTCGCGTGACTAGAGGGTAGAAAGGGCCAGGGCCGCCGAGGGCTCCAGGATTCGTGTTGTCTACATTGCATTGGACACCTCCTTGGCTCGGCTGCATGGACAGTACCGTGTTTCCCTGAAAATAAGACCAACCCATGAAATAAGCCCTAGCAGGATTTCTAAGCATTTGCACAATAGAAGCCCTACCCCGAAAATAAGTCCTAGTGATGGGCTTGGCTACACAGTGTATCTGTACTACCCATGCATTTCATCGAAGAGTGGTAAAGAAGACGAGCAGCCCTTCTCATCTGCCCCATGAGAGCTCTGTTGCTCGACACGAGAGATTGGGGCCAAAGGTTCTAAAGGAAATAGAGTCGAAAGAAATTCAGGATGGAATTCAGGGTTTGGAGAGTTATGATGATGTTCCAGAAGAAGACGACTTAACTGTATTTGAATAAATGTAGATCGTTGTACCGTACTTAAATAACACATCCCCTGAAAACAAGCACTAGGGTGTCTTCTTGAGGAAAAATAAATATAGGGCCCTGTCTTATTTTGGGGGAAACACGGTATCCCGTGTTAAGGCGGAAGCACTTGGGCTTCAAGTCGCCTTTGCAGAGCTGTTACTGTGGGCCCAGTCTCTGGGCACCACTTTAGATGCAGACGGCAGATGCAGAAGGCCTGATCTGTTTTACCTTAGTGTGTTCAGCTTGTTCCAGGAGAATAGACTTCCTGGAGGTGGCCTTGCCCTTGCGGGAGCACCTCGAAACAGCGCGGTGCGGGGAGCTAGAGACCGCCGACGCCCACTTGTCGCCCGGGCGGAGGGAGGTGGCTGGGACTTCACCGGGCCCCGGCTGTCCCCTCGCTGGACACAGCTGGGAGCGTCGAGACTCGAAAGGCTGGCATTTCTCTAATCCACGTGGGCGATGGGTGTTCTCGCGTGTGTGTCTGAGCGTGTACGTTTGCTTCTGATTTGAAGGATAAAAAGCCCAAAGAACAAGAAAAAAGAGGAGACTTTCTTCACCGACCGTTCTCCAAGAAGCTGGACAGGAACCTGCCCTCACACAAGCAGCCCCCGTCCTCGCTCATCACGCAGCTGCAGAACACCAGAGCGCTGCTGAAGGACCGCAAGGCCTCCAAGCCCGCCTTCCCTGACAAAGGTGGGTCGGCCCTGCGGCCCTGGCAGGCCACTGTGGCCGGCTGTGTGTTGGCCGTGTGGCCCTCCCAGGGCATGACTGCGGGGGCCTGGGCCGGACGTGATTCTTGGGCCCACGGGAAGTGGAGTTACAGGCCTCAGGTAGCCTAAGAACAGTCGGGGGCCACCTGTGCAGGAAGGAGATGAGAGCGCAGAGATGGGGTGCATGAGATTATGGAAACAAAGATTGGGGTGCATGATGGTGCACTACTGCAGGAGCAGAGATTGGGGTACATGTTATTGTGGGAGCAGATATCGGGGTGTATGGTACTGTGGGAGCAGAGAGTGGGGTGCATGTTACTGAGGGAGCAGATATTGGGGTTTATGATACTGTGGGAGCAGAGGTTGGGGTACACATTACTGGAAGAGCAGATATCGAGGTGTATGGTACTGTGGGAGCAGAAATTGGGGTACATGTTACTGGAAGAGCAGATATCAGGGTATATAGTACTGTGGGAGCAGAGATTGGGGTACACGTTACTGGAAGAGCAGATATCAGGGTGTATGGTACTGTGGGAGCAGAGATTGGGGTACACGTTACTGGAAGAGCAGATATCAGGGTGTATGGTACTGTGGGAGCAGAGATTGGGTTACACATTACTGGAAGAGCAGATATCAGGGTGTATGGTACTGTGGGAGCAGAGATTGGGGTACACGTTACTGGAAGAGCAGATATCAGGGTGTATGATACTGTGGGAGCAGAGGTTGGGGTACACATTACTGGAAGAGCAGATATCGAGGTGTATGGTACTGTGGGAGCAGAGATTGGGGTACATGTTACTGGGGAGCAGATATTGGGATGTATGGTACTGTGGGAGCAGACGTTGGGGTACATGTTACCAGGAGATCAGATGTTGGGGTGTATGGTACTGTGGGAGCAGAGGTTGGGGTACATGTTACCAGGAGATCAGATGTTGGGGTGTCTGGTACTGTGGGAGCAGAAATTGGGGTATGTTACTGCGGTAGTAGGTATCGGGGTGTATGGTACTGTGAGAGCAGAGGTTGGGGAACATGGGATTGTGGGGACAGAGGTGAGCATGTGAGGTGTCCCAGGAGTGGAGTTCGGGTTTCCCTGTGGTGGCATCTGGTCGCTTCCCCAGAAAGAGTCCCCGTGAGGCACCGGCTTGCGGAGAGTCTGGGCTCTGCGGTGGGGGAGGGTGCTCGGACCTGAGCGCCAACCCCAGCTCCGCTCACTGCCCGTGGAGGCCCAGGTTCCTGGCCGCTGTCGGTCTTCACTGGGTCCCCGACTTGTCGTGGCTCCGCCCGTGGGAGCTACTGGCTGCTCTTTGGGCTGATTCAGCAGAACCCAGCACATTGCAGACGACTGACAAATGTGCCTCTGGGACGGTGGCGGGGCTCACTGGGTGAGGCTCAGCACGCAGGGTAGACACGCCGGGAGAGGGGAAGCGGGAGCCGGGAGTGTCCTGAGGCAGAGCCGTGAGGTAGAGGAGAGGTTCTTCTTGCTGACGGGGATGGACAAGATCACAGACTTCGGTCCCTTTGTCGTAAACGTGAAGACACTCAGGTTCGGACAGGGCCTTGGCTGTCCACGATCAGCCGGGCCGTTAGTCCCTGAGCGGGACTCGAACCCACCTCCCACGCTGCCCCCGACGGAAGCTGCTGTCCCTGCACTGCCCGCAGCAGCCTCGGAGCAGGGCCCACAGCGGACCTGGGAGGGGAGGCGGGGCTCACGGCCAGCTGGAGACGTCGGCCGTGGATGAAGTTCTGCTCCTTTCTGCCGGTGGATCTCAGGCGTCTGTCCCGGCCTGTTCTATTTTGGTGTCTCTGTCCCTATTTACGTGAGGCGACGCGGATTCCCAGTGGCCTCCGGTGCTCCTGACATCGCTCCCAGCGGGCAGCAGCTTGCTCCTGCCTCTGGGCCTCGCCAGGGCCTATAAAACGTTACGGGGGAAGGAAGAAGCGAACACAGAGCTTACTCTGCACGAACTTGGCTTTATGCCTCTCGGCTCCAAATCTGTAGGGGGTTTCCCTTTCTCTTCTGACACAGTTTGCAAACTGGATTCTAGTCTGTGCCAGCTTGAGACGGGAACCGTGGGGATTGGCCGGCTGCCCTAACTGTATGGATGGAGCGCATTCTGCCCTGCTCAGAATTGGAGGAGGCTCTGCGGAGATCAGAAATCGTGCGGAGCCCTAAAAGGGAAGGGGATCCTGACACGTGCCCATCCCCGTGTGGATGAGCCCGGAGGACGTTATGCTAAGGGAATCGCACCAGCCGCAACAGGCGGACACTATGTGATTCCACTTACACGAGGCCCTGGAGCCGTCGGGTTCACGGAGACAGACGGTCGAGGGGAGCCTGGCAGGGAGTTCGGGGCGTGGGGAACGGGGACGTCATTGTTTAATGGGCAGAGGCTGTTAGATTTGCAAGAGGAAAAGAGTTCTGGAGACTAATTCTACAGCAATGTGAACATACTTCACACGGCTGAACTGCACGCTTAAAAATGGTTAGGATGATAAAAATTCTCTTATATGCTTTTTTTTTTTTTTTTACCACCATAAACTTGTTTTAAAAAGTTGGGAAGGAAACACTCCTTCCCGTGCGGGCTGTCCAGGACCAGACTGGCAGGGGTCGGGTGTGCTTCCGAGAGTTTTATGGATATTGAGTCAAGCGCAGGCACCTTTTTTATACCAAGACTCTTTTTTTAAGCAGCCAAAAGGGGGACGTATGTTAAGCTGGGGTGGTGAAGCAGACAGGGATCCAGGAGGCCTCCTGTCCCCTCCTTCCTAGAAGGGCTCTGGGCCTCTGTAGGGAGAGTCGGATGCTGCCGTCGGGGGAGCCGAGGCCGTTTGCTAGCTGGTTCCTCCTGGCCTCGGCGGGAACTGTCCCGGTCCAGCTGGGTGTCAGAGCAGGCAGGAGGGTGGCCGTGCGTGCCGTCTGGGTGGCCGTCTTCATGATTTTGTGTGTGCTTTCTTGTTGCGCAGATTCCTTCGGCTGCCGCAACATCTTCCGCAAAACCTCCGATTCCAATTGCGTGGCTTCTTCTTCCATGGAGTTCATCCCCGTCCCTCCCCCCAGGACCCCCAGGATAGTAAAGAAGCTGGAGCCCCACCAGCAAGGGCCCGGGAGCACGGGCGTCCCCGCCAAGGAAGACCCCCTGATGCTGGACATGGTGCGCTCCTTCGAGACGGTGGACCGAGACGGCCACATAGAACTGCTGTCCCCCTCGCACCACTACCGGATCCTGAACTCCCCGGGGAGCCTGGCTCGCAGAAATTCCGGCGAGAGGACACTCTCCCCGGGGCTGCCATCCGGAAGCACGTCGCCTCTCCACACTCCCTTGCATCCCACGCTGGTCTCCTTTGCTCACGAAGATAGAAACAGCCCCCCCAAAGAGGAAGGTGTGTGCTCCCCACCTCCGGTGCCCGGTGGCGGCGGCCCCACACAGCCTCTGGGGAGCCCGAACTGCGTGAAAAGCCGAGGCAGGTTCCCCATGATGGGCGTGGGGCAGATGCTGAGGAAGCGGCACCAGAGCCTGCAGCCGCCGGCGGACAGGGCCCTGGAGGCCGGCATGCCCCCGCTGCAGCCCTCGGCCCCCGCCAGCCTGCCCTTTGACGTGGCCGATGGCCTCAAGGGCCAGTGCTGACCTGGGCCGCCGTGATCCTGGGCGTCTCTAAATAGACAAGCAGTGGAGCAGCGCTGCACGCGTCTGCCAGGGCCCGAACAGTCAGAGTCCTCGAGGGGAGCACCCTTTATGGCCTCATCTCTTCCCGCCGTGCAATCCTGCCTGTAGCTGGAACCCACAGACCCAAAGCCTGCACAGTCCAGCCTTGCGTGGGGACCCTGGGACGCTGGGACCGGAGAGGAGTGTCGGCTCCTCGGGCAGCCGCTCCCAGCCATTGGGGATCCCCCTTCCTCCCACGTCCTGCCCGTGGCTGTCGCCCGGATCACAGACTGTTACCAGCCCTCTCCTCACTCTGTTCGACACGGGTGCCTCTCAGAGGGTTGTTCTCCCAGCCACCGGCCACAGTCACACGGGGACCAGCAGCGTCACAAAGCCACTCATCCAGGCCACGGTCTCCTCCCAGAGCGAAGCGCCCTTCCTTCTGTAGCAGCGAGTCCCTGCAGGCCGGCAGCAGCTGGCGACAGGGAGTGGGGGGCACGGGGACCTCCGGGAAGACAGCGAGGAGCCTCAGGCAGAGACTGAACCAAACGGGGGACCCTGTGGAAAGGTACAGACGGAAGGAAACACTCGCCTCCCAAGCAAGGTTTTGACCCGTGTTTTTTCTTTTATTGAAACTTGCTAAACGGTTGAATGATCTTCTCCAAAGAGATTTTTCTTTATGTGATGTCGGTACGTTGCAGTAACATAATTTTTAAAAACCTGGACAGAGAGACAAGAGGTGATTCCACCGAACTCAATGTTTGTACGGGACAGTGCAGCGCGGAGAGCAGAATCGCTCACCCCGGTGATGCGTTTAGTGGCATTGGCCGGCGGGCGGGGCAGGATCCAGTTGGCCCTGTGTTCATCCCATTGTATCAACAGAGCCCCGATCCTTCCGGAAGGTGTAGAACGTAGTTGGTTCTTTAGAAAGAGGGAAAAGGTGGTTGTGGCAGGATTCATGTGGCAAGAAGACGTCATTACCTCTGCGGTGCGGTTTTCAAGCTGCCCGGAAAACAAGTGCAGTTTAGAGCACAGCCAGTTTGCTGCGGGCCGTGAACAGGTCTGCCCGGTGGGAACCTGTTCAGACACAGGCCAGTTTCTTCTTGGAGGAGAGCAGTGTCCCCCACACAGGGTTCAGTCCATACTGTGTTTTCACACCTTTCACCAAGGATCGAACCAAAGATTTTGTGTCTGTTCTGTCCCTGTGTGTGCGTTTTGTGGATCCCCGTGTTGTTTGACTGTGTCCAGCTGGAGCCTGGTGGTGGCTGTCCCCACATGGGGCTTGGCCCTGGCATTTGGCAGGGAGCACTTGGTCACGGACAGAGTTGGAAGAAGAATCCAGAGCATAGGTTGGACAGTGGTTGGTTTAGGAGACTGGAATCTTCAACTTTTGACTAGTGCAGATGGGACTGGAGACCGCCACTGTGGTCCCCCTGGGGTTGTCATCTCATCCATTGGTTCCAAGACGGGCCTAGGCCCTTGGGAATTGCAGAGCCAGCCCTCATTTCCCTGACAACCAGCCCTTGCCAGAGGGCAGGGAGGTGGTCATTTTCTTACTCACCAGTGGTGACTTCCTTTGGCCCCTCCCGTCTCTGAATGAGCCAGAAGAGACCACTGTTTGGCTGATCGCAGAAACCCCTTCGATGCCCCGGTCTTGGCTGACGTTGGCAAGACCTGGAGCTGCTTCCTCCCTCCCAAGGGGACGACCCCAGCTCCAGGGTGCGTTAGGAGGAGGTCAGACTCCTGGGTGTTGGCGTTTTTTCCTGCGTATAGCTGCAGACCGGTTCCAGAACTCGACATTGAAAATGGAGGGTTTTTAAGACTGAGAAGAAATCTTCTAAGACTGACCCTCTCTCCATCTGATGTGAAGAGTTTGATTTTTGGCTGGGGAAGGAAACTTTCCTAAGGGTGACCTCCAGCTGCATCTGTCCCACTCTGCAAGTTCACGGGGTGTGCACCTGTGGGTTGGGAACTTTCTGGAGCCTCTGATGTCTGCTTCTTGCATTGTGCTTTCCTCAAGGACAGGAGCGTTTCCGCGTGGCTGTTAGCCCGTGGGGAGTGTGTTTCCCATTCCTCGCGTGCTTCAGGAACAGCTGCAGATACCGTGCCACTAACTGACCGTGTCGCCGTCGGCGACTTGGACTCAGAACTCAGGTTTATTCTGAACACAGTGAGGGGCGAGGGGGGGTGAGGCAGGGGGGGAAAACTGTATTTTTTTTGTGTGTGAGCACCTGACAAATCTATGAAACCAAGTGAAAGGAAAAATGTTAAATTCTTTTATTATTTTATTATATTTATATGGAAAACTTGACTGTCCCTTTGGTAAGTACAAGGTGTATTGTCTGTCTGACCCATGGCTGTCCTCCTTAGTCTGTGCCTGTGATTCCGGTCGGCCTGTAGTTACTGACGGGAAGGACTGAACTGCCATCGTGTGACGTCCAGGAGGAAAGGTCCATTGTAATTGTATGATTTGGTCATAAGTAAGGACTGTGTTTGTGTCACCACCATTAAATATATGTACTTTTCTATTGACTGTGAAATACACTTTTCGCTCACTATGGCTGCTTCTTTATTTGCGGATAAATCTTAAACCATCGAGTGCGTTGCAAAGAGAAATACAGGTACCACATTTTACGGAAAGTTCTTGGGCCAGCAACTGACTGGATACAAGTGGGAATTGAGTTGTGGGGTATTTGGGGGCATTTTCTGCTGCAGTTTCCCTGCCTCACTGTACCTGCAACAGGTGTGCCTGCAAAGTCTATCCCACTGACCTGCTCAAATGGCAGTTCAAGGTGAACCAGCATTTTTCATTTTGGGGGCGCTCGGTATCTCCCACGGAGACTCTGAAAATGGGACATGAAGAATGACGTCAGTGAAGGTCATTCTTGTTTTAGGCCTTGGTCAGGGACAGGGGAAGAGGGACGATGGGATGGATTGGGGAGGTGTCTAGATTACCTGTTTTGGATTGTCCCAGTTACCACTTTATTCATAACTGTGCACAAAACATTTTTCGCATATATCACCTTGCTTAAACCTTTGTGTCCCCCTGTACATTGCGAGGACAAAGGCCCAGAGGGTCACATGGCCAGGAAGTGGGGAGGGTCACTGTTCCCACTGCACAAAGTTCTCTCTGAAGTTCTGGGGGAAAAGAACAAGTATCTAGTTTTGATGACAATGTCGTTGTGTAGGAACCATAACATTTTAGAACAGAAAGGGACCTGAGATTCCCTGGTTCAACCCCAGCATTTTTGAAGAAGGGAAAAACTAAGGCCTTAAATTGTTTAAGGACATGCCAGAGTCCCCAAATGAGCTGTCACCAGAGCAGGTCTAGAGCACAGGGCTCCTCACTCAGAGAACATAGAGAAATCAGAGTGGGGCTGTGGGGTCACAGGGGAGAGAGAGTCAACAGCGGATCAGGCTGTTGTTACGACAGGTATTTGTGAGGTTCCTGCAAGGCCCAGGTCTTGCATTTTTAAATCATTTTCAAAATCATGCCACTTCTTGAGATACTGAGCACCAAGCTCTTTCTGCTATCCAATCTCCAAGCTGGAAAGAGACAACTTTCCTTGGGGGGGGGGGGTCTCTGTCTTTCTCAATAGATTTCCTAAGTAAGCTGCAACCCCTGGACAGCCTGGTTATCCCGGTTAAAAGGCTCTTGGGTCTTACTAGATTAAATCAATAAAACATTTTTCTGCAGAGCCGTATCACAAAGCGAGACAAATCCGGAAAGAATGCAAAACTGATATATTTTTAGGGGGGTCCGGAGGCCTCTTGGTTATTGCGTTTGTTTTCTTTGTAGGATCCTCTGCGCGCTACAGGCATAGTAAGAATAATTCAGAGCAGTACTGGGAGCTGGTTCAATTTCATGTCATCACTTTTCAATGAAAGGAGCGTATTTCCTGAGTAGTAAATGAGTGTATTATTTGTGGCAGCTTTTCTGTCAAGGGAGCTTTTCAGACATCTGGTTCCAAAGACAAATGGGGTACATATTTGTACTTCTCCTCTGTGGACATGTTTTCACAACACACAGTTACCTCTAAGACTTGATGTCTGTATGCGCTAAGGGTCTGGGGGAGGGGGCTTCGGGGGAGAGGGCGAGGAACGTGTCAGGCTCTGCCATCCCGTTCCGAAGGTATTCACATCTGAGCTGGTGTTCAGATAATGAGGCATTTGGAGGGGCCAATTCTGGCAGCGTAGAATAGCTTGATGTGTAGCAGACCCGAGGATCAATTGAGGCTGAGTGGTTTAAAACTTAAAGGTGGCGCATTGCAGAGAGGATAATGCCAGAAAAGTGTGTTATTTATTTACAGGTGAAAAAATAAATGGCTCTGCCTTAAGGACTTGAGCTACTTGTGTTTCCTCCTCGGAAGATGGACCTTAAGCTATTTTGAAGGCAAAGGCTTTGGCTTATGTTTAAACTCTATATTATAACAAAAATGTGTTCTTTCTAGGCCTCTTACGCAGCCAGCTGGAAGAGGGCAAATTGCAAGCCTGTGTTGGGAACAAGGCTTCTTGTCCAAACTGGGGCAGCGAATTCATGGCAGGTCTGAGATTAGAATTCCACCCTCAACCCCTCCGCCGGTGTTCAGTGCTCGCCTCTTCTGGCAACCAGTGTGTTAGATAGATGAGGCCTTCTATGGTAACAAATTAAACCCCAAACCTCTGTGACTTGCCCAGTAAGGGTTCATATCATACATCAATTTTTGTGAAGCTCGGCTGACTCCAAAGCAGTTATTTTCCATGTGGTGACTTAGGGATCCAGGACTACATCCAGCTCATGGCTCCATCCATTCAAAATGAAACTTCTTTGGCTGTTACAGCAGAGGAAGGGTGAGCTGGGGATTTTTCTGCCAGCCGGTAGGTGCTCTGCAAGGAGGCTCGTCACGCCTCACAGCCTATTGGCTGGAGCTGGTCGTGTGGCCTTGCCGGTGAGCAAGAGGCTGGGAAATGTGGGGTCGAGAACATGGCTCTTTGGGGTGCAGGTGATGTTTCTGCCACCTTAGGGAAGGTACAGATGCCTGCCATTTAAAGGTCCCCCTAAAATTGTACTGCGTTTTCCCCATTGTTACACATTTATAGCACCTCTTAGTGGGTAAGGGTTACTTTTTCTAAATAAAAGGATTAGCATTGGTAAATAGTAATATTTCATGTAATTTAAGAGGAGTATTTTAGGCTGAATTGTTTCTACCCGAAATTCATATGCTAGAGCCCTAACTCCCAGTACCTCAGAATTTTTCTGCATGTATTTGGAAAAAGGATTTTTAATGAGGTAAGTTAAAATGAGGCCATCAGGGTGGACCTTAATCCAATCTGACTAGTGCCCTTATAAGAAGGTGGGTGAGATTTAGACACACAAGGGGACACGAGACAGAGGAAGGACCATGTAAGGACACAGAGAAGGTGGCCGGCTGCCAGCCAAGGAGAGAAGCCTCAGGAGGAACCAAACCTACCAAGACCATGATCTTGAACTTCCAGCCTCCAGAACTGTGAGAAAATAAATGTCTGCTGTTGAAGCCACCCAGCCTTGGTATTTTATTATGGCAGCCCATGCAGACTAGCATAGGGGGAAGGCCAAATAGGAACATTTACACATTCTCTGCATCTTACTGGTTTTGCCCCATGTGCTAAATTCCATTCACCCTTCCCTGACTGAAGTACTCCCTTTTGAAGTTTCCGATCCACCTCTTCTAAGTGTTCCCTGTGTGCTAAGCTCAGTGTGCCAGTTATTTTCACGTTTATTTCTCCCTTTAATCTGGAGGTCTGCACACTTCTTCTGTCCAGGACCAGATAATAAACATTTTAGGTTCAGTAGATTGTCATGCAGTCTGTTGTGTATTCTTCTCTGTTTGTTAGTTTAGTTTTTTGTTTGTTTCACAACTATTTAGAAATGTGAAACCCTTTCTTCCTGGGAGACTTAGGAAAACAGGCCACTGCGGATTTTGGCCCCCAGGCCATAGCTTGCTGGCTCCTGATTTAAGAACCCTGGGAAGTGTCATGTTTTCTCTATTTTACAGATAGGTGTAGGGGGCTTGCCTGGTCCACACAACCAGGACTTCTGCAGTCACACACTACGAATGTTCATTTTGGGAACTCACCACTAGAAAAGAGTAATGCACTTCTTTTGTGGCATCTGAGCCAAGAGGTTGTCACAAGGGCTTGTCGATAACAGTAATGAACTGATTAAGAGTTTGGCAAAATGATTTAACCTAAGAGAACTTGGAGATGGGGAGAGACTCTGGATTTTGTCTTTGCCGGGGCTACTTTGCCATCCATAAGCCAGAGGATACTCGAAGAGAGCCATCCCGGTCTCACGTCTGCTCTGCCCTTTGGTCCCCACCCTCAGATTCATCCTCACCTTCCATCGTTGCAGAACACAGCATGGCCCGAGTCCCCAACTTGTTTTCCATTCAAGCTGTTTCCCTTCTGTGTGAATGGGCTCTCAAAAGTGGAACCTTGCTTGCTTATCAGAAGGGAGCACTTGCTCAGGTCTTAGAAGTCTAAATCAAGAGCAGATGTGGAGCTGAATGGTGCTCACGGACGAATCATTGCCGTTACTCACAGCTGCGTGACGTCGGACCATGGGTTGGACAAGTGTCCCTGCCACTGAAAGATGAATCATGTCATCTGAGTCAGAGAATCGCAAAGAGCCATTCAGAGTCCTTGCCACCCACGGTCCTGTCAATTACTTGAGCCATTCTCACTTTCAGTGCATTCAGGCCAAGTCAGAGAATCACAAGGACAGTGGAGGTCACCCAGCCCTGGGCTCGGATCCCCAGGACTTTGAAGGAGACACCAAGAAACATACGTATTCTCAGGATGAACACGATGCGACTTCTTGAAGCATAGTATTTATAACTCACTGCTATTTTTAAAACAAAATACTTTTACTTAGAATAAATATGTATCACAGATACAAAATCAGTGTGAATTTTATGAGTATGACCCCCACTGTCCTCTCTGCTTTGGGACATTTCAAGGAATCATCTCAAGAAGTAGAGGCCAGGTTCAACCTTCCCCATTCACAGCTGATGCATTTGAGGTGAGAATGGAGAAGTGATGTTTTGAAGAACTCACAGCTTGTCAGGGGCAACTTCTGCCTCCAAGCTCAGTTCTCCTTCCACTAACCGAGACAAAGAACCCAGAATTAAAAGAAGGCCTGGGCATGCTTTGGAAGGTCATGATGTCTGGAGTCTACTCAGTCCATTTTGCTAAATTTTGGGCCACAGAGTGGGTAGACATGGTGCTGGCCATAATAGAAAGAAGGAAATTGATCTGAAGGGAGTGTTTAAAGGAAGAGAGTTCCCAAGCATGGTTTGTCGTGCCCTGCCCTCAGTAGTCACAGGTATGTATGCTGCAGCACTGGGTCCTGAGTGCATTGTATGATAATCTCTACTTTACATGACTGTGTTTCCCAGGGCTCTGGGATGCTATCTCACTCATCTTTGTATTTACACACAGTGATCCAAATACATGGATGGGTGGATGGATAGATGGCTGGGTAGATGATGAATGGATAAATGGCCTGGGTGGGCAGATGAGTGGGTGGTGGTTGGATGGA